CCGGAAACAAAATCGCAGTGGGTGGAGGGGGTGCTCGGGAGGACAGTGTTTTATTGTTTTATTCACTACAGTCCAAGGAGGAGGCCTGTGTGTGTGTGTGGGGGGGGGTGGTTACAGGAAATCCATTGGGGGTAGAATAGGGAGGAAAGAGAAAGCAAAGAGGAGGGTAATCTCTGAGACTGGGGAAAGAGGTAAAACGAAGAGGCAAATATTTCCCTGACACTGGTGAGTACAGGATGGTAATAGTTAGCAACGGCAATTAACACGGCAACAGTAACGGTTCTTTAGCGTCTGCTCCGCTGCAGTAACTCCGTCTGCAGGGGTCCGGAAAAGGGAAGCTCTGACATTCCCGAGGTATGAGGTACGTCATCGGAGATGCCCAAAGACAATGAAGGTAAAGAGGGACCTTCTTCAGGGAAGATACAGCCCCAGGACATCACTACCCACCATGACTCACTTTGGATTGCCAAGTTTTCATTTCAGACCATCCTGGGAGGTGACTTTCACTTTCGGAGTTGGTGACTCTTGCCACGGGGGCCTCCCCTGAGCTGGTCCATCAGGTGTGGTGCCTGGGGTGTTTTTCATCCACAATAAAAATAGCAAACTTCTGATTGCCAGAGGGGAAGAAGGGTGGAAGGATGGGTGGAAAAGATGAAGGGGAATAAGAGGTACAAATTTCCAGTTGTAAAATAAATAAGCCACGGGGCTGCAATGGCCAGCACGGGGAATATGTTGGTAATAACATAATAACTTCATGCACTGCTGGGTGATTACTAGACTTATCCTGGTGATCACCTTGTAAGGTATAGAAATGTCCAACACTACGTTGTACACCTGAAACTAATACACTTTAACTGAAACGTTTAAAATAAAGTCACCCCTGGCTGGTGTAGCTCAGCGGATTGAGCACGGGCCTGCGAACCAGAGAATCTCGGTTTGATTCCCAGTCCGGGCACATGCCTGGGTTGCAGGCCAGTTCCCAGCAGGGGACCTACGAGAGGCAACCATACATTGATATTTCTCTCCCTCTCTCCTTCCTTTCCCTTCTAAAGATACATAAATAAATAAAATCTAAAGTAAAATAATAAAAAATTAGTCTTTGTTAAAAAAAGAAAAAAAAAAAGGAATCTGGCCTCTGTCCCACTGACCTGGGAGACTGGGTGTGGCTTCCGTTGCAGATCACAGAGTAGAAGTGGGGCGGGGGGTGTAGATTTCACTTCCTTTTCTGGGCTTTGGGAAGCCGGGAGGGGATCACCCGCTGGGAGCCTGGCTGTACTCGGAATGGACGGGGATGGGCGTGTGGGCAGGGGTTGGTGGGAGGCGAGGAAGTGGAAACGACCCCTCAGGTGGCCAGCCACCTCTCGGGGAAAACAGGCAGGTAGCTGTTGTTTGCGGGCGGGATTTTCCCCCAGTTTTTTCCCGCTGAGCCTCAGAGTGGGCAGGAGGGAAGCTCTGCCCCAACCCGACATCACATTCTCTTCCCGCCTCCGCGGCACCACAAAGAGGGCAGGGATGGGGACCCTCGCCGTTCCTCTGGAGAGGGACCCCAGATCCAGCTGCACTCGGGTCCTGGCCTCGTATGAAATTCTCTACGGCTCCCTCCTGCCCATGGCAATGGTTCCCAATCAGGGGTGCCCCGCAGGGTCACACAGGGGGCTGTCACAGCCTCGGGACACCCATCGTCCTTGCTGCCATGTGTTGAACAGCTGTACACATACACAGCTTTGTGACCACGTCACTTATTGCCAAATAACTCATTTAACCATCACCCCCAGGTTTTTATGATCCCCTATTTTTCAAGGGAGAAAGAGAAGGTGAGAGACTCGATACAGGTGTCTTAGGGTCACCAGCTATTAACTGGTGAAATGAGTTTGAATGGAGGAAGTCACACTCGGAAAGCCCTGCCCCTGCTCCCCGGTTCCCAGACCCCTCCCCTCCCCTCCCCGCAATTTCTCTTTCCTCCCTCTCTTCTTCCCACTCTGCTTTCTGCCTCCCTTTCTTTCTTTCTCTTCACCTCCTTACCCCCTGGGTTCCTACAGTAGATCCTTTGGGGCAAAGCTTCACACCTGAAATGGTAAAAGATTCCGTTCACTACCCTGAGCATCCCTAAGTAGAATCCAGGGCCAGGTTCCTACCTGGCTGGCAAGAGCCCCCGAAACCACACACATGCATGGCCTTGGACCCAGCTTCGGAGCACGTGTGGAACTGATGCAGTCACACGTGCGGGGAATGGCAGGGACACAGCTGCCCAGGGCGGCACGCTCTGTAAGGGCAAAGGTCTGCTGGGAGCGGGTTCGGAATGTATGGCGTGTTCACGGAACATTACAGAGCTGTGAGTGAGTAAGGAAGGGAGGGAATGAATGAGGTAGCTGGCTACATCCTTTTGTGGAAAGATCGTGGAGGGAAGTGAAAAGCAGGAAGAGGCAGAACAATACCACTGTTTATTTTTCTAAATTGGGACGGGAGAGTAAGGAAGTTCCATCCAGAAGTTGGAAACCCATGGCCGGACTCCAAGGAACTTGAACAGGTCCACTGGAGATACTCATTCGCTTATTTATTCTTTCGATAGATACATCGGCCCCCGAGTGAAGACAAGTGGCTAGAACCGACCTTGACCCTTGAACCATGCAGCCCTGTGCCTGGAAGACACAGAGAAACAAGCAGATGTTCCCCAAACCAAAGTCGCTCTTCCTTCCAAACCTGCTGCTACGCCCCGTCCCCCCATGTCTGTCAAAGGGACCACCTCCTCCCCACGGGCCAGAGCCTGAGGTCCTGGGTGACAAAGAGGCGGCTGCATACCCCACACCCAGACTGTAAGCAGTGCCCTGGGACCCCGCCTTCAGAGCGCGGTGGAATCCAACCACTTCCCGCCTCCCCCCACCACCACCCTGAAATGAGCCTCCCTCCATTGCAGTCACTTCCCAACTGACGTCAACCCTCCCCCTCCACACCCCCAGCCCCGCTCCCCACAGAGGGATCCTGTTAAAACACAAGTCCAGTCACGCCCTCAGCAGGCAACTCTCTCAGGTCTTGTCATCGCCAGGAAACGTAAACATCTCTCCACGGCCTACTAGGCCCAGGAGTGTTCATCATCAATTGGCCCCTTCATACCTCTTTCAATTATGCCTTTCACTCTCCATCACTCTTTTGTTCTAGCCACAGTGGCCCCTTTGCCGGTCCTCCGTCATCAAACAGGTTTCTGCCTCAGGGCCTTTGCATTTGCTCCTTCCTGTGCCTGAAATACCGCAGTCATTTGCGGAGCTGACTTCATTTAGGTCTCTGCTGAAACTCGCCAGCTCAGAGGTGGTGTTTCCATCCGTCAGCTTCCATTAGATTTTGCTGTAATAAGAAATCACCCCCAATTCTTGGTGGCTTGCATCATCAATTTCTCATTCATATTACCCATGACCCCCATGGGCTGTGGCTCTTCCCACATTGTCCTCATCCTCAGGTCCTGGCAGAAGGAGCAGCCCCACCTGGGACAGGGCGAGCGGAGGGAAAAAAATCAGGCCACGGCTTTAAAACATCCACCCAGGGCCCTGGCCACGTGGCTCATTGGGTCGGAGCGTGGTCCTGATACGCCAAGGTTGCAGGTTCGATCCCTCACCAGCACACCCATGCAAGAATCAACCATTGAGTACATAAATAAGTAGAATAATGAGATGTCTCTTCCTCCCTCTCTAAAATCAATAATTTAAAAAAAAATAAATTAACAAATAAAACATCTGCTCAGAACCAGGTTGCATTGTCCCCTTCAAAGGCTCCCACCTGCTACTAGAAATACTAATCCTGGGAGCTGGGAGCTGGGAGCTTTTGATTTACGCCTTGGGGAGGGGACCTTGAGGGGAGGGGACGAAAAGTGTTGGGCAGCCACAAAGGAAGGCATTTGAAGAAATTCTTCCTCGTCTCCTTACTCTGTTCCCTTTTTTTACAGATTTTATTTATTTGTTTTTAGATATAGAGGAAGGGGGAGAGAAACATCAATGTGTGAGAGGAACATCAATTGCTTGCCTATCACATGCACACCAACCAGAGACCAAGCCCACAACCCAGGCACGTGCCCTGACTGGGAATCGAACCAGCAACTTTGAGCTTCACAGGCCAGTGCTCAATCCACTGAGCCATGGCACATCCTCACCCAATTTCATCTAGACTTGACACAAGACATTTTATTGAATGCAGCAATTTTTAAAAAGATTTTACTTATGCCCTGGCTGGTGTAGCTCAGTGGAATGAGCACGGGCCTGTGAAGCAAAGGGTCACGGGTTGGATTCCCAGTCAGGGCACATGCCTGGTTTGCAGGCCAGGTCCCCAGTAGGGGACACAGGAGAGGCAACCACACATGGATGTTTCTCTCCCACTCTTTCTCCTTCCCTTCCCCTCTCTCTAAAAATAAATAAATAAAATATTTTAAAAAAGATTTTACTTATTTATTTTTTAGAGAAAGGAAAGGAGAGAGAAAGAGAGGAAGAGAAACATCCATGTGTGGTTGCCTCTCGCATACCTTGCACTGGGGACCAGTGCCCACAACCCAGGCATGCGCCCTGACTGGGAATCGAACCGTCAACCCAGTGATTCGCAGGCCTGCACTTACCCCACTGAGCCACACCAGCCAGGGCGAATGCAGCCATTTTGACAGCTTGGATCCTTTGGCCTTCCCAAGTATTTACTGACCGAACTTAACTTTTTTTTCTGGCTCAGGAATACCAGCCACTGAAGACCCTCCCCCCTCCACCGGCCCTCACCACATCCTAGCCCCCATCCCTGAGACCCTGCCTCTCCTTGACCCCACCTCTGATTACATCCCTGAACCTCACCCCGCTCTGGGTCCCCAGCCCTGCCTTGGCCCCACTCTTGAGTTTCAGCGGCCGGCAGCCTGTATCACTGCCATTGTGTGGAACTGTTCAGGACCAAGGCTCGGGCTTTGTTTTCAGAGAGAGGCTCTTGTTCCTGTCGCCAAGAAGTCACCTAGGTAGATACCCAAGGGGAAGATGCAGAGTATGGGGTGAGTCAGGTCCCCTATCTGGAGCCGGAATGTCAGCAGGAGCGGGAAGGGGGGAGCTGGGGGGTACGACACAGACCACCGAGAAAAGGCTGCTGGAGCACGTGGCTGGGGACTAGGAGAGCTTTCGGGGTGCTAACCCGTGAATGGTCTGTTTCTCTCCCAAACAGGGCGGGCTCCGTAAAGGCAGGAATTTGGGGCTGTATTTATTCCTGGCACATCCCTGTACCTGGAATACTGTCTAGCTCAATAAACAACATATTTGTGTTTCGTGTTTTAGGGTTTTATTTTTTTAATCGTGGTAAAATACACAGGACGTAAAATGCAACATCTTAACCATTTCAAGCACACGGTTCCCTGGTATTAAGCAGCTCTCACCACCAACCAGCCCCAGAGCTTTTCTCATCTTCAAAACAGAAACTGTTTCTCCATGAAACAAGAACTCCCCGTTCCTGCCTCTCCCCAGCTCCTGGCAACCCCCTCAATAAAGGCAAGTCGAACTCTCACCAACATTAGTATTTGATGATAACTACAAGGTGACTGATGATACTTGTTATTCTTAGAGCTGCCAGGAATCGGGCTAAGCAGTTGCCTACGTCTTACATCATCAGCCCAGTGAGGAAACTGAGGAGAGGAAACTGCTCCCAAGAGGAGCAGCACCGTACCACTGGCTGGTTCCCAAGTCCGGGGGCGCAGAGCGCGGGGGAGGAGGTTCAACAGGTTGGTTAAGAACTCACGGCCTGCCCCGATTGTAGGTTTTGAATCTCAGCTGTGTCACTTACAGCAAAGAGCTGCAGAAAGTCCCTGACTGTCTCTGTCGCCTGCGCCTTCACCCGGTTCAGAGGGGAGTCCAGCGGGGATCCGCGTATCTGCGGGCGCGCGGGACCCACGCCTCCCGGAAACTGCCCCGCCTCCCCGCGCCCGCCCTGCGCACCGCCCTCGGCTGGTGTGCACTGGTTTCTGGGCCGGTGTCTCCGAAGTCCCTAGGACGTCTGGATCGGCGCGGGGAGCTGTTCTCTCGCACCATGGCCGGAGCTGCGGGGCCGCTGCTGACGCTGCTGCTGCTGCTGCTGCTGTGGCCTTCCTGGGCGCCCGCCGGTGAGTTCCCGCGGTCCGCGGGCCCTGCTCCCTCTGTCCCTCCCCACCTGCCGGGGCACTCAGACCCCCTTCATTCCAAGGGTTGGAGGATCCTAGGGGCCAGGACCCTTCTCTGGCTCCCAGAAATCGCCGGTTTCCTGTAACGTAGAGCAGGTTTCTCATTCCTATTAGAAGGGTGACTCATTCTCCAGAACACTCAGCGGAGGTCATTCATGGCCCTGCTCACCGTGCCCAGACAGAGGTCTAATGGAGAACAGGGGGTCGGGGTCGGCCTCCTTCTAACCCCGTGTAGGGCTGTAATGGCTTGGCCATTCATTCATTCCCCGCCCCCGCCCCGCCCCCCACCCTCACCCGAGAAGATGTCGTTATTGATGGGAGGGTGAGGGAGAGAGAGAAAGAGAAACATCGATGTGAGAGAGAACCCCGCCCGGTGATCAAACCTGCAACCCAGGCATGTGCCCTGACCAGGGATCCAACCCACCACCTTTTGGTGCGTGGGATGACGCTCCAAACCCGCGAGCCACCTGGCCAGGCCCAGGGATACCGCTCTGATGTCAGACACCCCTGGGTTCAAAACATCTTTAGGCATTAATACCCGTGAGAGCTCAGAAAAGGTACCTGAGCTCCCTGCTCCCCTAACAATGTGTTGGGGGTGGGGAATCCCGCCTGCCTAGGGAGATGCTGAGCACACCGGCACTCCAGACGAACAGAGGGCAATGATCGTTCATAGGAACAATAGTGATACTGAATCTAGACCTAGGGACGCCGGAGTCCCTCATCTCAGCATCTCTGAGAAGTCGATTCACAGAACACCCGATGCTTCTCCCCAGGAAAGAGAGTGCCAAGGTTTGATGAGGAGACTGAGGCACAGAGAGGGACAGTAATTCCCCCAAGGCGCCCAGCAGGAGGTAGCGGAGCCAATGAGTGTGAACTGAGACAGTGGCCAGGCCCGGCCAGGGTCTGAACCCAGGCTCTGCCCCTTGTTTGCTGGTTAGCCCCGGCTGAGGCTTGACCCTCAGGGGCTCACTTGCCCCCTCTGACCAAGGTGATAAAAATACCGGCACCTATGTCTTGGGGCCATGGAGAGGTTTAGACAAGGTCACACTTCAGGGAGCAGTTCAGTGTCTGGCTCCAGTGTGAGGATGACACAGGGACACGCTGAAAGAAAGGCCACTTGACCCAATTTCATCTGCATGGCAGCCTTGTTAAGGAAACTCCGCCCTCTGGTGGAGGAGGTCACCAGAGAAGGAGACTCCCTTGCCCAGAGCTGCACAGCGCATCCGTGGTAGAGCTGGCATTCGAACCCAGACCAGCATGCCCATCACGCCACAGTTCCCTGTGTCCAGACCACGCTCCCCTCCGTGAAGCCCCCGTCCACTACCCGCTGGCTTCCTCTTCCTCACAATGATGATGATTATAACATCTGCCCTTCAGAGTGCTTGACATTGCTAGCCCTCCACGTGGATTTCATCACCGAGTCCCCCCAGCAACCCTAAGTTTAGAGCACCTGCATGTTACCAATGGGGAAACTGAGGCTCTGAGGGGGGAAACCACCCGAACAGAGGGCCACATCGAGTGAGTGGCAGGGATGAGGTTCCAAAAATGTAACTCTTTCCCTTCCCACCTTCTCCGTTACCCTTGTTACTATTAATACACACACAGCATTGTGTTTATTCATGTCAGTAAGAGCTCACCTATGTCGAGTGCCTATTATGTGCTGGGGCCCCTAGCAGAGAGAGTCTCCTGTGGAACCTGGTGGCTTAGCGGGGCTCTTGACTGCAGATGGCCCAGGTTCAAATCCCACCTCGGCCACTTACCCCCTGCATCACCTAGAGCACATGGCTCTGTACATAAGTCTATAAAGTGTCTATAAAGTGGGGCTGACAGCGGTACTGGCCTCAAGGAGCTCTTGGAGGACTAAATGCTGAGAGGTGCGTGAAGCACGCAGAACAGCCTCTGATCTGTGTAAGCGACCCATGAGCATTCACTGTTGTTGGTCCCAGTTCACAAACTGAAAAGAATCAGAGAGGTTAAGTAAACTGCCTGAAGCCTCACAGCAGAGATCGCAATGGATCCAAAAGCCTGGAGCTCTAATTGCCTCTCTTTTCTTGGGCCAGGATCCCCTACAAACATTCTCCCAGGCCGAGTCCACACAGAGTAATAATAATAATAATAATAATAATAAATATACCACATTTCTTATAGATTCTAAGACCTGGAGTCTCTCCCCTTCTTTACTCCCCTAAATCAGAGATGCCCTAAATATTGACATGGAGCCCTGCTGTAAATGCCAGCACCACTAGAAATTGCATCTTAAAATTGATGGCGTGGGGTGATGAAAATGTGCCCACCGCGTGGAACTAGGTAGTGGTGATGTTTACAAAGCACCGTGAATGTAATTAATCTCACTAAACTGTACACTTTAGAGTGGCTTACACTGCAATTTTATTTTTTTAAGATTTTATTTATTTATCTTTAGAGGGGAAGGGAGAGAGAGAGAGAGAAATATCCATGTATGGTTGCCTCTCGTGCGTCCCCTGCTCGGACCTGGCCTGCAACCCAGGCATGTGGCCTGACTGGGAATAAAACCGTGGTTGTCTGGTTCTCAGGCCCGCGCTCAATACATCGAGCTACACCAGCCAGGGCCAAATTTAATTTTTTAAACGCTATCTTAAAAATCAGTGATGCTAGGATGGAGCAACGGTCGTAATAGAAAAAAATACGGTAGTCATAGCCCAGGGAAGCGGCATCCACCAGGTCGCAGACCCCATCCATCCGCTCTCCCTCTCACCAGCGCCCGGGTGGGGACTGGACCCCCCAAAACACGCACACGCACACACAAGGGACTCTAGGCCCCAGGCGCACGGCCTTCTAGGCGCCCCTCCCCCTCCAGACCCGGATGCCCAGGTCTGACTCGCACCCCCCGCCCCCGTTTCCCGGCAGAGGCAAGCACCCAGTCCTTCGAGGTGCGGGTGCTCCCCGAGGTGCGCGGCTTCCTGGACCACAACGCCACGCTGCAGTGTAAGGTGCACACACAGGAGGACGACCTGCAGGTGACGCTGGTGACGTGGCAGCGGCAGGACGCCACGGGGGCCTCCCGCACCGTGGCCGTCTTCCACCCGACCCAGGGCAGCAGCTTCCCCGAGAGCGGGCGGCTGCAGTTCGTGGCCGCCAGGCCCGGCGAGAAGCTGCGGGACGCGTCGCTGGTGGTGTTGGGGCTGCGCGCCGCGGACGAGGCGAACTACACCTGCCACATCGCCACGTTCCCGCAGGGCAGCAAGAGCGCCCGCACCTGGCTCCGCGTGCTGGGTGAGCGGGGAGAAAGGGGACAAAGGGGGAGGCGGGAAAGCAGAGTGGAAAAGGCCCGGGAGGGAGCGAGGCCCCCCCGGGAGCAGAGGACCTGCGGGGACAAAAGTAGGCAGAGCCTGGGAAGTGGCGGGAGTGGGCTTGCAGGCCACCCTGGTGGCTTGGGTTTCCGAGTGCAAGCTGTCCACGGGGTCCCGGAAGGTTATCCAGGTGACCCGCTTAGAACAGAGGTCCCCGTGAGCCCCTGAGAGCTGCCAGCTCTTGTCACTCCCGAGTTCTAGGAACAGGTTGTTGAAAGGCCTGGCTGGAAGGGAAGGGGCTCTTGTTCCCAGCCCGGGAGCTGCTTTACCGGCGGGACCCCGGCGCCCTCTGGCGTATTAGGGACTCGTGGGTTCACTTTCTGGAGCACCGGGAAGAAGAGGACCTTCTTGGAAATAGGGAAGTTTCTGTGCCTCAGTTTCCTTCTCTGTGAAACGGACATAGCTATGAGGATGAATAAGAGCTGACGTTTATTTTCCACTTATGTGCCCGGTACTGTTCCTGGTTTTGGCTGAGTGACTCATGATGAGGCAAGTGCTTGGAGCACCCGAGGAAAAACCGTTGTGGACATTTCAGCGAGCCTAGGGCTTCAGGTCTTTCGGTTTAGGATGAGGGCGACAGAAAACCACCCGTGAGTCAACTTAAAGAGAAACCTTCCGTAACTAATAACCCCAGGGAATGATAGGGAAGGAACCGAGTGAAGCCCCAGGTTTGGGAATAACCAGAATGATGATTAAGAGGCAACACCTGGAGCACAAAGCAGCTCTGTCACTCGCAGCCTCCAGCTAGGCGCTCCCCCTGTTAACCCCCAGAGCACAGCTCTGCCCTCCTTTCCTCCACAAAGCCCTCCCTGCCCACCTCCACCCAGGCACCCCTCTGGGCCCCCCGATCTCAGCCTTCCTCAGGCGTCACTGCCTGGGGGAGTATCTGCCCTCCCTTTGTGCTGGACAACCCATGGAGGCAGGGGTGGAGGTCTCCCAGTCATTGCTGGATTCCTAACACTGCCCATCCCAGGCCAGGCCGTGTCTTCAGTGACCCATAATAATAACAACATTTACCGAGCCCTTATCATGTGCCAATACCACTTTAAGAGCTTTGCGTGCAGATTCTCATTGCCCGTGGTCCTGTCTTTATCCCCGGTTGACAGACAGGGAAACTGAGGCACAGATTTGCTGGAGGCCCCCCAAGTACTCAGGGCTAGAGCTGGGATTTGAACCTGTCTGTCCCACATCCTCGGTTAAGCCACCTTCCTCTGCTGCCGACATGTTTGTCATTAATCAGTGATTGCAGGTGAGGAGTGACCTGTCCCTTTTGCTCCTCTCCCCAGCCAAGCCCCAGAACAAGGCTGAGACGGAGGAGGTCCCGCTCCACCTGCTCGGCCAGGAGCTTGTGCCTGTGGCCCGCTGCATGTCCATGGCCGGCCGCCCACCTGCCCGAATCTCCTGGTCCTCGGACATGAAGGACAATAAGAGCCAGGAGCCGGGAACCCTGCCCGGCACATTCAACATTGTCAGCCTCCTAATCTTAGCACCCTCGAGCCAGGTGGACGGCACAAATGTCAGCTGCACAGTGGAGCACGAGACCTTCGAGAAACCCGTCCTGCTGTCTGTGATCCTCAGCGTGCCCTGTGAGTGTGCCCGCGTGTGAGCGAGCGTGGGAACCACTGCCCACGAGCAACACGCTTCTTCATTTGAACTACAGCAACTTCTCAGGCCACCGTCCACGCTGCTCCCCCGGTGGTCTGCCCTGACCCCCACCCTGTCTGCACCGGCTCCTGGAGCACAGTCTCCACCCACCACCTCCGCCTGCTCCCTGGGCGCTGCCCGCACTGACCTTTCCCGTGTGCTACACTGCTTCGCCTGCTGTCCGCACCGGCTCCCTTGTCCACTGTCTACACTGCCTCGCCCTAGTCTACACTGGCTCCTCTAGCCCACACATAGCGCTGCCCCTGTTGTCCCCGGTCACCTAGGCCATCGGCTCTGGGGAGCTGTGTCCCCATTGCCCCAAACTCCTCACAGGCCTCTCTGTCTGGGGCTGTTCCCCAAACGTGCTGAGGCTTTTTCCTGTCCTGGCGTGAATCTCGCCGGTCTTCAGTCCCCTCCGAAGGCTCCCTGTCTCTGAGTTTGCGTGTCTGTTTCACCCAGACCCCCCAGAGGTCTCCATCTCGGGCTATGATGACGACTGGTACGTCGGCCGCAGTGACGCTGCCCTGCGTTGTGACGTCCGCAGCAAGCCAGAGCCCACAGACTATGTCTGGAGCACGTGAGTCCTGGGGGGACCTGGACTGGGGGGGGGGGGGTCCGAGGGAGGAGAAGATGCAGGAAAGTAAAAACAGAAAAACGTCGACTAGGGCCCTGGCTTGTGTGGCTCAGTGGATTGAGCACCGGCCTGTGAATCAAAGAGTCGCTGGTTCAATTCCCAGTCAGGGCACATTGCTGGGTTGTGGGCAGGGTGGCCGGTTGGGGGCGCACGAGAGGCAACCACGCATTGAGGTTTCTCTCCCTCTCTTCCTCCCTTTCTTCTTCTCTCTCTAAATATGAGAGAGATAAAGAAATAAAATAAAATCTTTTATTTAAATAAATAAATAAATAAAATCTTTAAAAAAAAGAAAAAGTCAACTTGGGACCCTGAAAATTTTTCTGAATGGCAAACTCAGAGTTTATGAGGGGGTTAGGTCAGGTTCACTGACACACCTGCTCTTTTTTTTTTTTTCAGGTTTTCACTAATTTTTTTTCTCATTTATTTTTTTATTTTTAGAGAGAGGGAGAGGGAGGGAGAAAGAGAGGGAGAGAAATATCGATCCGTTGCCTCTCAAACCCACAACGTACGCATGTGTCCTGACCAGGAATTGAACTAGAAACCTTTCGCTTTGCGGGACGAGGCTCAACCCACTGAGCCACATCGGTCAGGGCCACCCCTGCTCTTTATGGCCTGCCCGCTGTGTGCCCAGTACTTAACTCATCCCGTGGGATCCTCGAATTCTAGCGCATCCCTGGGTTAAAGACCAGCTGGGCCCCAATAGGTGCCATCCTTTGCCCAGGTCACACAGCCATGAGGGCAGCTGACTCCAAACTCAGTCCCCTGACCTCTGGGCTGAGCCCCCTCCCCGGTCACCTCATGCAGCCTGTGTGGTCATCTCTGAGGGAGTGAACGCTGTTCCTACTCTGGACCAGCACTCTGAGGCGCGGGGCAAACAGAAGTTACCCTCAAATTCCTACCAGCGCCGGCATTAAGGGTGGCGGAAGCGAGAGGCAAAAGGGAAAATTGCATGAGATCATTTCTATCGGGCTTTTTTTCTTATTACAAAAGTAACATGATACCATTGTGGACACTTCAGACAATTGTGACCAAAAGAAGAATATTGCATATACAGTGAAAGTAGCCAGCCACTTCCAGAAATAGCCACTGTCACCTCTTGTCACAGGCCCTTCCTGTCCTTTTTTCCTGTGTGTTTCTAAACAAAAACTGCTGCTGATGCAAATTTAACCTTTTCTTCTACCTTGTGAACCCCTTCCTACATCAAAGCACATACATCCACATCTCTGTCTCTACCAAATTTTATGAGGAAAATTTTCTTTGTCTTTTTTTAAAGATTTTATTTACTTATTTTTAGAGAGGGGAAGGGAGGGTGAAAGACAAAGAGAGAAACATCCATGTGTGGTTGCCTCTCACACGCCCCCTACCGGGGACCTGGCCCACAACCCAGGCACATGTCCTGCCTGGGAATCAAACCAGTGACCCTTTGGTTTACAGGCCGCCACTCAGTCCACTGAGCCACACCAGCCAGGGGTTTATGAGGACAATTTTCAAACATACAGAGAAATTGTAAGAATTTCCCAGCGAACATTCAAAAACCCACCACGGGGCTTCTTCCGCTAACATTCCACTATGTTGGTTGTTTTATCACATTCTGCCCATCAGTCCGTCCCTCTCTCCATCCGTCCCTCAGTCCTCATCTTCTACGCATGTCAAAATGCCCGCAGCCCCTTTTTAATGCTGCTGGGCTTCCCTCTGTGTGCATGACATCCATGACTTCACCAACCCCCAAGTGTGGGACGTGGCCACACTCTCCCATTTTCATCTCTGCAAATGCCGTGGTGGTAACCATCCTGATCTGCCCACCTCTGTGGAAGCCACAGTCCATGATTCTTAATCATCTGCCAAAGGTGTTGTCTGCCGGTCACAGGCTTCCCACGGGTGTTGACAGATGCCACTTTCCGGCCCTGCCACGAGGCCACGTGGCAGGGTTTCCACCCCAGCTCCGCAGATGCCCAAATCTCCATGCCTGTCTCTCCTCCGTCCACTAAACCAATGTTGCTCGGCCGTTCGCTGTGTGCCGGATGCTATTTCCTGTCATGCCTTTGGTACATAAAGCAGACCCGATTCCCTTCACTCATGGAGCTTCCTTCCAGAGGGGAGAGAAGTAATCGGATAGCATGGTCAACTACATAAAGCCATGGAAAAGATGAAGCAGAGAAGGGGCTGCTGCAGTTGAAATAGGGTGGCCAAGGAAGGTGTCACTGAGGTGACGTGTGAGCAGAGGCCTGAGGGAGGTGAGGGTGAGCTGTACCAGTACCTGGGGGAAGAGCATTCCAGGCAGAGGGAACAGCATATGCGAAGACTCTGAGCTGGAGCATAGCTGGATTGTTCGAGAATCAGCCAGGGGGGCGTAACAGACAATGTATTCAGTGGTATCGACGCTGGCTTACGTAGGGCCTGTGGCCGTGGTAAGGACTTTGGATTTTACTCCCAGTGAAGCGGGAGCCATGGGAGGGATGGCACAGGCTGCTGAGCGGGGGACAGATTGGAGTGGGGGGACAGGGGTGGAAGCGGGGAGCCCAGTGAGAAGGTGGCCACAGCGGCATAGGGGCATCAGACCAGGGTGGTGGCAGGGGAGGCTTTAAGGAGTGGCCAATCTGGATGGATTTTGAAGGCGGGCAGACAGGAGCTGCCGACAGGCTGGGTGTGGGTGTGGGTGTGAGAGAGGGCGTCGGGAGAGTTTCAGGGCGGGTGTCGGCACCCCTGGCGTGCCGAGAGTGCCTAGTCGCCTGCCACCCAGGCCTCCCATGAGGCCACTTCCTTACCCAGCTGTCTCTCCCAGGGCCACGGGTCCCCTGCCACCCTCTGCCATCGCCCAGGGCCCCCAGCTCCTGATCCATCCCGTGGACGAGGCCATCAACACGACTTTCATCTGCAGTGCCACCAATGCCCTAGGGACAGGCAAGGCAGAGCAGACTGTCCTGCTCAGAGGTGAGGAGGCACCTGGGTACCTGGGTGAGGGGGTCCCTCAGCCCCAGGACCACTCTCTGACTTCCATCCTCCCCCTGCTCTCTCGAGAAAGCACCAACAGGGTCAGCTTCACTTTCTGTGGGCCCATCGTCTGTGCCACTGGCCCCACTGCACAGCTGCTCGGGTACCCTGCTCTGCAAACCCAGGCTGGGGCCATCATACAGTGCCCCTTCCCCTGGCAGAAAGGCCTGTCCGAACGCGTTAGGCAGAACTTTATCAGTTGCAATCGATAGCAGAACAAGTCAAAATAATCCAAGCAAAAGGGGGACTTCATTGAAAATGTACCTGCAGTTATAATTAAACCCAGGTGCTCCAGGGGTGTAATCCAGGAGCTTTTCTTTACTTCTCTTGTCTCTGTTTTTCTCCGTGCTGGTTTTATTTCCAGGCAGATGCTCCACCTGAGAATAAACAGCGGCAGGCTGACATCCCCATAGTGTAGCACTCCCAGGGCAAAAGATACACCACTTTCAGTAGCTCTAGCCAAAGTCCCAGGGCTGGCTCTCATTGGCTCTACTTAGGTCACAGCTACCCTATGAATCAATCACGGCAGCCACAGAGAATGGAATGCTCTGATTGGCCAGGTCTAGGTCAAAGTCCCATCCTAGGAACCAGAGGGTAGGGTGGAGTCCACCTGAACCGTACAGACTGAGGCAGAATGGTAACTTCCGAAAGGAATAAGGGATGATATTTGCGGGGCAGGTCAAACCCCAAAATCTCTGAACCTAAATCCCTGCTTCCTTCTTCTCTTTCAGGAGAACGTCCCAAGGATCAGTCCTCTGCGGACAACCATTTATTTGCAATCCTGATCCCAGTCCTGGTTGGTCTGGTTGGTCTGGGGTTCCTGATTTATTTCCTACGGTCCAGATTCTCCTGTGAGTCCCCTCCTCTTTGACACATCCCCTGCCTGTCTGCCATGAGCGAACGTCACCACAGCCGCCTTGGCTGAGCACCTAGTGTGCTCACCCTTCGCATGACAGCTTCTCTCTGAACCCGCCCCCTGACGCCACAAGGTTCCACCATTTTACAGGCAGGGACAGTCACATCAGGAAGTCCTGGTCATTGGATCATTGATTGATCTGACAAATATTCAGGGAGTCGGGACAGATTCTGTCAGGCCTCAAAGGCCACAGTAAGGATTTTGGCTTTTCATCCAGGTGACACAGGGTGAATGGAGGACAGGCGAGGCCTTAACTGCCCCCTGCTTTCCTCTGTCGGTCTTGCTCAGGAGTGACACCCTAACTGCCCTCACAGAAAGGGGGGAGGGTGGCAGGAACCGACACCCCAAACCCCAGCTCTAAGCAGCCCTGGTCTCTCACCTCAAAGGCTCCGCGTAGGCTGTTTCCCTGCCTGGAGCACCCTCCACATGGCTCCTTCTGGCAAAGTCCTGCAGCTAATTTTTAAGATTTTATTTATTTTTAGAGAGAGGGGAGAAAGAGAGGCAGAGAAACATCGATGTATAGTTGCCTCTTGCACGCCCCCTACTGGGGACATAGCCTGCAACCTAGGCATGTGCCCTGACTGGGAATTGAACCAGTGACCCTTTGGTTCTCAGGCCAGTGCTCAATCCACTGAGCCATGCCAGCCAGGGCTTCTTCAGCTAATTCTATCCTCAAAAGAGCTACAGTTTGCCAAGCTCTTTCTATGTGCCAGGCACTGTCTGGGCACAGCCCCCCTGAGTGCTCACAAACCTCCCAGCAAAGTGAGTGCTCCTGTGAGCCCCACGGTCACAGAGGAAGAAAGGTCACCTGCCAGTTGGCTCACAGCTTGTAAGACTAGAGTAGAAGGGCAACTCCCTTGGCTACAAAGCTTGTTCCCTCAACCACTAAACAAAACTCCCTCCTCACATCCCAGCCAGGGTGCCCTCCTCCAGGAAGCCCTCCCTGATCCTCCAGCATGATCCAAGCATCTGCTCTGGGCTCCCTCACCCATGCCTTGCTGACTCTGGGACATCACTCTGTGGGGACTTGTCTGTCTCTCCAGTGGACTGTGAGCCCCAGGAGGGCAGCACTAGAACTGCCCCCCCGGTCACAGCCATGTCCCCAGCACCACCTACCACCAGACCAGGCACAAAGGGGGCCTTTGAGGGAGCCTTTGCTGGATGTGTCATCTGCAGAGCCAGGCTGCCTATGTCCGGGCCCTCTGCCGCTTTATCCATTGTATGGCCCTTGGGCAAATGACTCAGTTTCCTCATCTGTGAAATGGGAGCAACCGTACCTGATAATCCAGGTGAAGCAGTCAGCACAACATCTGGCTCATTGTAAGCCATGCTCGAGGTATCTAAGCTCTGATTGGTGCTGCTGTTACTATAATTATTAGTGGAAACTCCATGAGAACAGGCCGCGTTGTCTGTTTTGTTCACAGTTGTATCCCCAGCTCCCAGAATGCCCCTGGCACAATGTAGACATGTACTATTTGCTAAATAAATCTCTGATGGTTGAGGACAGTGAGGCACAGAGAGGTTAAGTCATTCGCCCAAGGTCACACAGCTCCTAAAGGACAGAGCTGGGATTTGAACCCTTCCATCGGGTTCCAGAGCCATCCGCAAACAGAATTTATTTATCCTTAATAACTGGAGGAAGAACCTATCCCATTTCTGTTCTACAAATGTATAAACCGCTCTGGGAAGAGGCACCCCCCGTGTCAAGAGCAGAGCTGGTCCTAGCATTCAGTGTCCCTGCCACCCACCCGTGTTGACTTCCTGTGCTTCCCACACGGTCATTCATCTCTGACAACTTCTCCTATTTCCCAGGTCGGAACCGAGGCAGCCCCTCCGAAAACAATGTAAGTGTGTCGACGGAGCAGAGAGTGTGTGGGGGGCAGGGGGCGGTCATTCCTGCATGAACCACATACTGATTGCTGCGGGCTTCCCCCAAAGAGGGGGCAGACAACTCTGGGTGGGCCTTGCCCAGAAGCCGGCATGGCCTCGGGAGCCGGGTGCTGGATCTTTTCTGGAGATGCCCAGAGCAGCCAGCCATCCCCGGCCCTTCCTGCCGGGCAGAAGCCCCCCGGCACGTTTGCTGAGATGCAGGTTCCTGGAGCTCAGTCCCTGAGAGTCTGGTCTGATGGGTCTGTGCTGGGACCTGGGATCTACACTGGCATTGGTGCCCCTTCCTGCTGGTCGCATTGCACCTGAAAGTTCTGCCCTGGCTCCCAGGGAGGGGGAAGGGGAGGGGCAGGCCTGCGGCTCCACACAAGGCCTTCAGGGGGAAGACTTATCTGAAAGGGCCCTGAGGCTAAAGTTGAAATGTCCCTTTTCTAGGAAGTCTCCTATTCCGCTGTCAACTCCGAGGCCAGCTCTCCCCAGGACCTGCAGGCAGTCAGCACAGGGTGACGGCTTCTGGACTGAATGGAGAGAGACCGCAGCCAGTGAGAACGAGGGCCTTGCAGCTGGACCCCCGCCGCAGTGGGTAAAGTCTCTCTCCAAAGAAACAGACCACCGTCTCGGCACCAGACTTCAGGACGCCCCCTCTGTGTTGCAAGGCAGCAGGCGGGTGTCTGTTCAGAGACCCCAGAGCCCCCTCAGGCTCGGCGTACTCACTAAAGACTCCCAGAACTCAGGGTCGGTGCCACACTCCGGGTCACGGTTCAGTGAGGTTCGTGTCAGCAATGTGACACGGTGGGAGGAACCCGGCCTGCGCACCCAGCTGTCCGCTCCCGGGGGAGCCACAGGACAGCACTTTCTTCTCCCAGGAACGACGTGTGACAACATACAGGCTTCCACCAACTGGGAAAACTCATCTCAGGCTCGGCTTCCAGAGCTCCCGTTAGGGGTCAGTCAAGCTGACATAGCCAACCTTAGTGTCAAGCACCCCCGCAGGTGACCCAGGTGTGGTGGCCTGGGGCCATCATAAATCTCTGGAAACAAGAGCCACTATCAGCCAAGACACCGCAAGAACTCAGAGGTTATCTCCCGTGACAAAAGGTCAAATCTCTCTCTGGGCAAAATCAATCTTTTCCTGCACTGCGGGGTCACGGGGTCACACTGGATGTTCCAACTGCCGGAGAATTTTGATGAGACTTTTTACCTTTGGCCTTGAGCTTCCGAATCTCCACGTCAGTCGAATTTTTGTGGCTCCAAAAAAACAGCCGCTGTGACGCGTCACCAAGGAGAGAGCCAGAGGCTGGGACACAACTGCCTGGGGCTGTTCCAGGAGCAGGAGGAACTTGTAGATGTGAATTTGGAGGTTAGCAGCTCCGGGCACCTCCTTCAGAGGAGAGCATCTGTCACCAGCTGGCTGGAGTTGACAGGACCCCAGGACAGGGGTGCCAGTAACCCACTAAGGAAAGCAGATGTCTGTTCCCGAAAGGTAGAGGAAGAGGTGCCCGGGGAGCCGCTGTGCCCAACACACGCCCCCCAGAGCAGAACGGACCGGCCCGAGACCAGGAGGCAGAGCTGCCCAGCCTGACGCGCTCCCTTTGAAAGGGTCTGTGATCATCAGAATTCCTCTCAGAGTGACAGCTGTGTGCTGGGGAATGTAACTCAGGGAGGTGACACCTCGGGCTGGGATGCTGAACCGGAGAGCGAGGCGTGAGCTGCTGTGCTAGGAAAACCTGGAAGGATTTGGGACTGGCTCTGGGCAGAAGCGGGAGAGTGTGGGGCTGGGGAAGAGACAGGACCCAGCGGGATGGTGAGGGTGAGGGTTTCTGGGGGTGGCCAGGCCAGTGGGACCCCCGCAGTGTCGAGGACAAGGGGGAAGACTAGCGGCTTTGCTGCCATGTAAAAAACCCTGCGTCCGTCCCCAGCCCCCAGACAGTGGGCTGTTACCGTGTGGGATGGACCCGGAGAGATGGAAGCAAGACCCTGAATTGGGAAGGTCACAAGGTGGACACGTGTCCCCAGGGTTCTCAGACACTGTGCAGAGAGCTCGCCTGATTCCTATTTATTTATTTATTTATTTTTAGAAAGAGGGGGCGGGAGGGAGAAGGAAGGAGAGAAACATGAAATGAGAAAGAAACACAGACCGCCTTTCCTCCACGCCCGGACTGGGGATGGAACCTGTGACCCTGGTGGGGCATCAGACCGGCTGCCTTGCAGTTTGCAGGATGACACCCGACTGACTTGAGCCACACCGGCCGGGACTCTCTTTTTGATTCTTTTAACTACGGAACACGTAGCCATCTGCAAATCTACAATCATAAAAAGACATCAGGGGGCCCCTCTGCGTTCATTTCTGTGTAGGGCAAAGGGAAGGGTCCAGCTTCCTTCTTATTCAGGGGGACGCCCAGTTTTGCAGAACACTTGAATGTCACTAGTGCCGTGAAATTATACACTTAAAAGTGGCTAAAGTGGCAGATTTTTGTCATCTCTCCCCCCACACACAATTTTTTAAACCGTTTCATGCAACGCTTCGAAATCATTCAATGGTACGCTTTGGGGGACTATTACCACAAACTTAGCGGCTTGAAAAACATGAAACAATTTCTCTTAAAGTTCTGGAAATCCGAAGTCCAAAATGGGTCTCACCGAGCTAAAATCAAGCTGTGGGCAGCTGGCTCCTCCCTCAGGACAGGACCCTTCCCTGGCCTCTCCAGCCTGTGTACCTGGGTGTGCAGCCCACGCGCACAGCCATCCCCGCCCCCGACTCTCTCTCCCTGGTCAGGGAGAGGGTGCTGCCTCCCTCCTTCCCCAGCCAGGGCCCTGTGACTTCTCTGCCCATCCAGCTCATCCACGATAACTCCCCACACGAGGCCCTTCACGCCATCACATCTGCAAAGCCTCTGCTGCTGTGAGATAGCATGTTCAGAGGTTCCTGGGATGGGGACCCAGATGGCTTTGGGGGCCCATTATTATTTGCCACCCCCACCCAGGGCCCCTGTCCCACCGCCGATGAGCATAGCGCTGCCTCCTGGCGAGTTTAGGTACAACAGTGTGCACTAGTCTGTGCCCGCGAGGCAACGTCTCGCACTCCGCCCTGCACCTTGGTTCCCTCGCTGGAGGCTCCTGGAAGGTCAGAGGGCGTCTTTCAGCCCTTTCACAGCCGCCACGTGGACTTTTTCCACCAGGCCCCTGGGGACGGGCGTTCGTGTGGTTTCTGCCCTTTTACAATCACAGCGTCCTAGTGACTGTCACTGAGCGTGGGTGTGGGGACCCACTGGAGGCGCAACTGCCGAGTTGATATTGACTCGGTAGACATTGACAGACCGTGTCTCGTAGGAGTGGAACTGATTGATCTCTGTTCCCACCAGCAGTGGACGTGACGGCCTGTGTTTTGGGGAAGAAGCTGTGGGCGCCGCAGCAGCGGAGTGGCCCAGAATTTGGGTTTAGGTGTTGTACGGCTTCACGTAACACTGACAAAACCACAAGTACAGGTATGAGAGGAGGGAAGGGAGAGGGCGTGGTGCAGGTCACGTAGAGGCTGCAAGGGCACCCCCACCCCTGCACTGTTCTGCGCCCAGTGAGTGGGGGCGGGGTCTGAGCAGACATTCGCCCGCTGTGAGTGGCTGTGAGGTTCCAGAAGCCTCTGCGGTGAGGACCTCTCTGGGTGAGCATGCGTGTGCTACCGAAATCTGACTTACTAAAAAACAATGTTGCCTCAGCCCGAGTGGCTCAGTCGGTTGGAGCGTCGTTCCACAACCTTTTGACCATGGGTTCGATTCCCAGTCAGGGGGTATACCTAAATTTCGAGTCTAATCCCCAGTCTGGGCATGAACGGGAGGCAACCATTGATGTTTCTTTCTCTCCCTCCCTCCCTTCCCCTGTCTCTACAAAGCAGTGAAAAAGTGTCCCCAGGTGAAGATTAAGTAAATTACAAAACCAATGAGGTGACCCAAAAATTACACTCCTAGGTAGATCCCCAAAATGATTGACTACCCAAATAAATTCATGGACGCAGACGCTCATAGCAGCACTCTGTACCTCAGTCAAAACGTAGAGACAGCCCAGGGGGATCAGTGGCTCAATGGATGAACAACCCGTGCTCCAACCACACAACGCAACACTATTCAACCACAAAACCGACCCGCACTACAACATGGGTGAACCTTGAGAGAACACCGTGCTGAGTGAAAGAAGACAGACACCAAAGGCCACACGTCGTGGAATTCCGTCTACAAGAAGTGTCTGATATAGGCAAACCCATAAAGACAGAAAGGAGCTTAGTGGGTGCCAGGTTTCCTTCCGGGGAGATAAACTATGTTGTAGAAATAGCAGTGGGGATGGTCCCACGACACTGGGAATGTGCCAAGTGCCACTGGACTGTGTGCTTTAAAGAAGCTCAAATTCTAAGTTTGGTATGTGTTTTACCACAATAAAAAAAAGTTCTTACAGAAAAAATTTCTTTTCGTTTCCTCACTCTTACTGGCAGAATTTGCAGGACCCAACCAAATTCACGACTGGAAGGATGCGTGAGTTGTTGAAGAACAGGTTATATTCTGACTGGTGAAGAAAAACATTGTACAATGACATTTCTTAATGTGTGATACGACAGACTTCATTCAAGGGGGGCGTGGGGACCACCGCAATGGGAGGCTGCAGAGATGGGACTCAACTCCAAGTGCGGCATGGGCCCGTGGGAGTGTGGGGCCCAAGAGCAGGTGGGAGTCAGTGGATGGAAATCGCTGAGAGGAAACATCCAGGGCCAGGAAGGATTCTGGGTAAACCCGCCTAATGGGATCTGGCAGAAGGCAGGCCAGGGCGACCAGACATCACCTGGGGACGCTGGAAGATGAGGCTCCCGGAAACCTTTTCTAACTCTGCTCACGTATCAAGGGTGGGAAGTTCCAGTTGAACTGATTTGGGAGGGTTCTTGCTGAAGTTTGGACAATGAAGGGATGAACACGGGAGCCCAAAAGTCAGAGCAGAGTTAGAAGAGGGTCCAGGGGATCCTGAGTAGAAATTGGTCAATGAGAGGATTTTTGTCAGGCTATAGAAATAGGGCCCTGGCTGGTGTAGCCCAGTGGATTAAGCACAGGCTTAATCCTGTGAACCAAAGGGTCACCGGTTGGATTCCCAGTCAGGGCACATGCCTGGGTTTCGGGCCAGGTCCCCAGTAGGGGGCGCACGAGCGACAGACACACAATGATGTTTCTCTCCCTCTCTTTCTCCTTCTCTTCCACTGTCTCTAAAAAGAAATAAATAAAATCTTTTTTAAAAATGTAATGTCCAGGCTGGAATTAAAAACAAGACACTGGATGGTCTAGTTCTACCCCAGGCACCATGTGTGGAGTTCAGCTCTGAGTCTCTGCCGTTTGTTTTTTTCCCTTCATTTATTGGCATCGTCCACAGGCTGGTGCCAGGATGGCTGCTGCATTCTGGGTATCGCAGCCAGATCTGGACCCGGAGAAGCAGCCCACCCCATCCTGGGGGAGCTTCCCCAGCGGACTCTCCTTAGATCTCATTGGCCAGTACTGCCCACCACTCAACCAATCCCTGGCCAGAAGCATGGGATGGCCTGGGAAGCTTGAACCAATCAGGATCTGCCCTCTGGAGCTGGGGAGAAAAGGGGATGAAGGATACAGGAGAGGAGATAGAAGCCTGGGCATCTACTATTAGCAATAACCCTCCCTCTGAATTTTACTCTCTTCTTTTTGAGTCTCTACTGTCTAAATTTCTGTAGCAAACCAACTCCTTTTTAAAGCATGCAAATGGAATCAAAGTTTTTATTGAGAGAGAGATTCCGCAACTGGAAAATCCAGAGTAACTGGCTATACACACTGCCTGGCATTGCTCACAACCGGCAATAGCACCGCACTGGAGACCGTGGCCGTTTGGGAAACCAGTACAGCCCAAGGCCACATCGCCCTCCAGGTGGTTCAGAGTCGAGATTTCTCTCTCACTCCAACCTGGAGACTCTGAAAGACGCCTTCACCTCCCACAGTCTGATGTGTGCCCAGGACACACACACACACACACACACACACACACACACACACACACACCAACTTGGTGTTCTCTCACCCTGCAGACCCAGAAGTTTCCCATAGCTCTATTTCACCTTCCGCCCCCTCCCCGACCCCTAGACCAGAGCTGTCCGAGAGAACTTTCTGCAGTGATGATGGAAACGTTCCAGATCAGGGGTCTCCAGCCCCCGGGGACCCCAGACAGGTGCCAGTCTGTGGCCTATCAGGAACCCAGCTGCACAACAGGTGATGACTGGTGGGCCAGTGATCGAAGCTCCATCCCGCCCCCTGCAAGCCCTGGCCCGTGGAAAAGTCATCTTCCACAAAACAGTCGCTGGTGCCAAAAAGGCCAGGGACCACTGTTCCACATCTTCTGTGCCTAACATCATAGCCATGAGTCACAGGGGGCTATTGAGCACTTGGAAGTGACTGGTTTGGGGGGACTAAGTTTTTTAAGGCATTAAACTTTCATTAATGTAAATGTATATTTCAATGGCCATATTTAGCTAGTGGTTACAGTATTGGCACAACCCTGGACTCTCCATCACCCAGACTCTGTCCCGACAGAGCTCAAAACTGTAAGCGACCCCTCCCACTTCTCTAGCCACCTGCGCCCACCAGTCCATGACTCCGCAGCTTCCTCGAAGCATCTCCACGGCGTGTAGCCTTCTGCTTCTGCTTGCTTGCGCTGTTTACACTCACCGCACCCCACCTCAACCCACCCCATCCCATTATCTGCCTCATTCCTATTCCTACTCCAAATCTCAGCTGTCCCCTCCTCCAGGAAGCCCTTCCTGCCCGTCAGACTGAGTGAAGCGTCCCTTTGGGCTCTCCCAGCCCCCTGGCTCCTCCATGCCAGCCCTGATCACTCTGGACCATCATTATCTGGAGGTGGGTCTGTCCCACTGTGGACCGAGGGCAGGGCAGGAGCTGTCTTAATAGTCATTGCGTCCCCAGGACCGCCCAGCGTGGGGTTGGGCATAAGGAGTGTGAGTTGAGATGAATGAATGAATGATTTTGAAAAACCATGGGAAGAGTTTTAGAGTAAGCCAGCCATAGGTCAAATCCCATCTGCCCCTTCTGGGAGACTCCCCTGTCTCTCTCCCTCTCCTCAGTTTCCTCATCTCTGAAATGGGCACCACGCTGCATGGTGGGTGTCGCATGACGTCATGTGTGTTGGGCCCGGCACAGGCTGGGGTATGTTGCTCAGCCAAGAGCCACTGTGACTGTAGTTGCTACTGACAGTCACACTGAGTGCTGAGAAGAGACGGAAGCAGGTCAAGGGAGGAGTGTGGGGAAGCTCCGGGAAGCTCCCCCGCCACCCTGGGAAACTGGTTGATCCAGTGTATACACATTCATTCTGGGGAGCACAGGAGGAGTCTCCGGAGCCTTCGGAAAGGGGGTGCCTGGCTCGGCCATGTCTCGTAGGCACCCCCAGGATCCTCACTGAGCAGGCCCGCTGCAGACAGCCAGGGCCCGGCCCTCGGGCCCCCTCAGTGTCCAGCGGGTGGACTCTTGGAGTCTCCGCAGGACATCAAGATGGAAATTCCCATGGGGACCCACTGCCACTTCTCCAAGGGCCTCCTACTCTCAGGTAAGAAGGAAATGTATCCCCAGGGCCTAGGCAAGAAGGCGGGATTCGACCCGGGGGTTGAGGTTTTTCTGTGGAAGAACAGAGGATTGTCAGGAAAGTTGAAATTATTAGAGTAAAATGAAGGGGAAAGCAGCAGAGGTACAAACCCATCACCATTTTACCTATGGAATATTCTAGAATGTTAGGACCACGAGGGCAGGAATTTATCTGTACTCAGTCCCCTGCTGTATCTCCAGTGCCTAGAAATCTAGGGAATTTTACATATATCATATATAATTGGTGTTGTGGCATAAGTAATATATGTGCCTATAAGTATTGGTTAGGTGAATGAATTAATGAATTCAGAGGCTCTGAGTGCTTACAGGCAGGCCACACAGCGTCTCAGGGCAGAAAAATCTTCTGGACCAACGGGATGGCAAACCTGTGGCATGCATACCTGGATGTCCTCTCCTGAACCCAGGGCAGACATCACTAATCGATCCCAGCACTGTTTCCAGTGAACAGCACTCGGAGTTCTAACCCCCAGATGAAGACTTAGAGGGCAGAGAATGCTGTGATCCCTGCCCAACACACTTCTGACTTCAGGCCTCCCTTTCACTCCCGACAGCCTCAGTCCTGGCCCTCTGCATCCTACAAGGCTCCTGGGCAGCCCTCCACATCCAGAAGATTCCAGAGCGACCTCAAAAGAACCAGAACCTCCTCCTGTCTGTCCAGGGCCTCCCAGACACCTTCCAGGACATTGTGTGGTACCAGGGGGAGGAGACAGATGGTGGCACAAGGCTGTTCTCCTACATCCCTGATCTACAGCGACCCCAGAGAGACGGCAATGCCATGAAGCAACGAGACATCGTTGGCTTCCCCAACGGCTCCATGCTGCTGCGTAACGCCCAGCCCAACGACAGCGGCACCTATCACGTAGAAGTCACCATTAACCCTGCCTGGACCATGCGGGCCAAGACCGAGGTCCAGGTACTCGGTGAGTGCTGGATGCTGGGGGAGGAAGTGGGGAGTTAATGCTCCCTGAGCAGCTACTGTGTGCTCAGCCCGGTGCAGATACTACCTCTATTCAATACACATTGATTGAGTGCTTACTGTGTACCAGGCCCTGAAGAGATTTACTCCCCACACACATTAACGAGTAAAACAAATCTATAGAGCGCCAAACACGGAGCCAGAGCTGCAGAATGGACCGTCTCACTGACTCCTCACGTGTAGTCATCAATGAAACATTTATTGAGCACCTAGTGTTTGCCTAGCCTCATGTTCACACTCAAGTGTTTTTTGGTGAACCCACTGTGGGCAAGGAAGGCGCTAGAATCAGGGTAGTGGACAACAGCAAAAGCTAACATTTCTTGGGCACTTGCTATGGGACCATTGTAAACACGCCCTGAGCCGGGGTGTCCAAACTCTGGGACACACTGGAAGAAGAGTTGTCTTGGGCCGCACATGAAATACATGGAGACAAGTAATCACAAAAAAAGCAAGCAAACAAACTTGTAATGTTTTAAGTAGATTTACATTTTTGTGTTGGGCTAAATTCGTAGCCATCCCGGGCGGCATGTGGCCCGCGGGCCGCGGGTCAGACACCCTTGCTAGAATGTAGCTCCTCAGCCTAGGAATGGCTGACATTTGAACCCACTAATTCTTTATGGCAGGGGGGCCATCCTGTGCCCCGTGGACATTGAGCAGCCTCCCTGGCCTGTCCCCTTTTCATGCCAGTAGTGCCCCTCCCGTCATGACAGCCCAAAATGTCTCCAGACATTGCCAAATGTCCCCCGGGGACGAAATCACCCCGACTGAGAACCACTGCCCTGTAGTAACTCATTTTTGCCTTTAAAAAACTCCACGGAATGTTACACGTCAATGATATCTGGCAGGAGCTGGCAGGGAGTGGCAAATGATAAGCAGAACTGACTACTCATCATCTCTGTCACCAGAGCTACCTTTCTGGCTGTCATAATGTACTCTCTGTGTTTAAAGATTTTATTTATTTATTTTTAGAGAGAGGAGAAGGGAGGGAAAAAGAGAGGGAGAGAAACATCAATGTATGGTTGCCTCTTGTGCGCCCCCTACTGGGGACCTGGCCTGCAACCCAGGCATGTGCCCTGACTGGGAATCGAACGAGCAACCTATAGTTTGCCAGCCAGCACTCGAGCCACTGAGCCACACCAGCCAGGGCTTGTATTCTAATGTATCAGTTTACACACTGGTCTCACTGGGATGATAATTCTTCAAAGTGATAGAAACAGGAGCATACTCTTCCTTTTATCATCCAACAGCTACCCCAGTGTGCGGGATGTAGTAGGTTCTCAGTTAATGTTTGTCAACTAAATAAATGAATGAATGAAAATCTTAATTAAAAAAAAACTCCAAGAGGCAGGTGCCATTATTGTTTCCATTTTACAGATGAGAAAACCGTGGCACAGAAAATGGTAGAGCTGAGATATGATCCTATGAAATCACAATGCCAGGATCTGGGAGGTTAACCACGTCCTTGCAAAGAGAAAAGGAAAAGTCTCCCACAGTCATTGAAATGTGGGGTGCCGATAATAACATGTATAATCAATTAAGATGCCACTTCAGATAGTGACCTCAATGCTAATAGTGATACCTAGCATTGTTTAGAGCTTGTCCTATGTTAGCTTTGCACATAGTCTCTCATCTAATCCTCACAGAAGCCCTGTGAGGTACATTAGGCCGATTTTACAGATGGGTAAGCTGAGGCGCAGAAAGGTTATGACTTGCTCAGTGAAAACCAATGAAACAGAATGATGTGATTTGGACGGGAGGTAATCAGGGAGGCCTTGCTGGAGACAGGACACTGAGCAGAGACGAAAAGAAGGCAAGGGAGGGAGGGAGCCGTGCAGGTTTCTGCGGGACAAAGTTCCCGGCAGCGGGAGCAGCACGTGCAAAGGCCCTGAGGCCAGACTAGTTTGGTGCGTCCTAAGCACAGACAGAAGGACCCTGTGGCCTACAGGGTGATGAACAAGTTGGGTGTCGGTAGGTGAGTCTGAGAGGCACTCAGGGGACAAGCTTGTAGGCCGTGGGGTAATAAATGGTCAAGAAGCCACAGTTTAACCCACCAGTTGAGCTCAGTGCAGGTTGAATTTGCATTTTATCCAGGAGCCACCTGAGGCCCAGGGGGTTTGAGGCACCTCCCATTTCAGGCAGCAAGTCCTCGAATTAGTGGCAGAGGCAGGATTCGAATGCAGGGCTGTCTCTGAAGACACTAACTTGCCCGTTCACTTATTCCTTCTGCAAACACTCCCCAGGCGCCTCCTCCTCGAAGCCTCGTCTGTGTCCGACCTACCCTGAGCGGTGCTGGGGACACAGCGGTGACCAAGGCAGCCCTGCCCCACCGGGAGGCAAGGGCTTCCCGGTGCTCACAGCCCAGGAAGGAAGGCAGATATTAACTAAATAATCACACACACGCACGCGCACACACACAAACAGATCACTGTACACAGTGCAGGGAAGGAGAGGCAAGTGCAGGGGTTATGAGATTGTACGTAGGGCACCCACATACATTTGTATGTGGGGTAGCAGGGAGGTTGGGCCAGAAAGGTGATCCTTCGGCAAAGCTTGAATGATGGATGACTGGCCGTTCTAAGTTGAGGGAAAGAAGCTTTGGGAGGAGTTCGACAGAGAGCTCAGCCTGTGCAAAGGGCCTGTGGCAGGAAGCTGCAGGGCTTATAAGCCGAGCTGGCCTGAAAGCAAGGAGAGCATCCTAAGCATGTCTTTGAGCCAGGGCTGAGGTGGTAAGGACAGAAGCTCTCCCCGGCTGGCTCAAAGTGGGGAGAGCTGGTAAAACCCCTGAGGGAGCCCCTGGGAAGTGAGCGCCGCGAGGCCTGGGTTCACAGCTGCTCCCTGGAGCCTAGAGCAGGGCAGGACCCACTGCTGAGTGAATGAATGGGTGGGGAGCCCCACGAGATCTGGGGGGAAATAGTTGTCAGGAAGGCCGGTGCCCCCTCCTCCTCCAGAGGACACCGCCCGCCTCTGGTCTCACCTCCTCTTGGGCTCCGTGCCCCTCTCCATAGCCTGGTGTCCCCACCAGGACGTGACACCAAAGACTGTGTTAGCCCAGCTTCTTTGCATAATTCCAAATCCCTTCTTGCAGAATGTGGAAATTTTTTTTTTAGAAGGAGCTGAAGACAAACAGACAGACAGACAGAGAATCTGGACAGTAGAGTCTGGCCTTCCATTTGCTTCCCTTGAGTCAAGGGCCCACCCCTTGTCCAAAGGGGGCGGGGTCAAGTAGGACAAACCAGATTCGGAGCTGGGACCTGGGGGTCAGGGCTGGGAAGAGGAGCAAGAACTCAACGCCTGCCATTTCTAGTAGTGATAATATGTATTTATTATCACTTTGTTCACCATGAATCCCCTGGTGTCCCGGGCAGTGCTTAGCACACGCTAAGGATCCGATACATATTTGCAAAGCTGTCGCCCATCTAGGGAGAACTTGATATATATGAGGGACAGCCAGGCTCGGACCTGCACCTGCGCTGATCTCCCCTCCTCTCATTCCATTACCACAAGAACCCTGTTGGGAAGGCCCTGGAACGATCCCGTCTTTGCAGAGGGGTAAACTGAGGCCAGAGAGGACCCTAGACCATGCTGCTGGGAGGAGGGGGACCGAGGCTCCAGCTGGGTCCCACCGCATTCCCTTGAGCCCCTGACACCTGGCTCATTCTCTATCCAGGCTGCTTCCACCAAACCGGGGCTCCAGGGAAGCACCAAGGGGTCCCCTTGGAATACAGCGAGTAACGGGGTGGGAACCGCCCTGGCTCTCAGGGGGCTGAGCTGAGCACAGGGAGTGGGGAGGCAGAGCCATTCAGGTCCATGGAAAAGGAAGAGCAAAGGAGAAGGCGGAGGCCCTGACCCGTGCGGCTCAGCCGGCAGGGCATTGTCCTGCAAAGCGAAAGGTCACAGGTTCCTTTCCCGGTCAGGGCAGTAAAAAAAATATATTTTTTTAATGACAACATTTAAAATAAATAAATAAAAAGGAAAAGGCGGAAGCTGAATTCGTGGGAATTAGGAACAGAGTTGAGAGTGTCCTCAAGTCAGGATGGTCTCCTTGGCAACCAGGGCATTTATTTTTGAGGGCAGTCCTAGCCCCAAATTCCGCTGCTATGTGGTGAGGGGTGGGGTGGGGGTTGCACTTCCTGCACCCCCCCCCAGCCCGGCCCCCTAACTCAGGTGCTCTCTCTCTCTCCTAATCATGAGGGGATTGGGCTGTAACAGAAGCCGCCCCAGCTGCGGGTGCAGAAGCGGGGTTAGTAGAGGGCACCGCGTGCTCACAGGGCCTCCAGAAGGCTGGGAACCAGGAACAAGACATGAATTACTCAGCAAAACGGCTCCCACCCCCACCCCCACCCCCGGAACAAGCGTGGCCCAAGCAGACAGCACCGGGCCCAGAACCCCTGCCCCTGGGGCACCGGGAAGCTGCATTCATTCAGCCCTTTATTCGTTCCACAAACATCCGCTGAGCCCCTGCTGGGTGAGAGGCACTGCGTTTACAAAAGGAAGGGGCAGACAGTTCTGCCCTCGTGTTTGTAGGTCGGTGGGCCTGGCGACCTGGTTCCCACCATCGGAGACTTGGTCCAACGATGCCACTGTCTCTGTGTCTCTGGTTTCTATAGTCTAGTCTCCGGCGGATGCATCTGATAGGGAGCCTGGGTCACGTGAGGGTCAGACTGAAAAGGAGGCTGAGGCCCCGGCTGGTGTGGCTGGGTGGATTGAGTGCTGGCCTGAGAACCTAAGGGTCGCTGGTTCCATTCCCAGTCAGGGCACATGCCTGGGTTGCCAGCCAGATTGCCAGTAGGGGGCGCGTGAGAGGCAACCACACACTGATGTTTCTCTCCCTCTCTTTCTCCCTCCCTTCCCCTCTCTCCAAAAATAAATAAATATATATATATATATATATATATATATATATATATATATATATATTTTTTTTTTTAAGAAAAAGAAAAGGAG